TTGGATTTATGATTAACGCTTACCTCTTTTAGAATACTGGCTGTTAAAGAGTAATTCCGAGTCATTAATCTATTCTGTGCATAGTTTAAATTTCGACTGATTTACTTGTTTCTTGCCCTTTATCCACTTTAGAAGGCAGGCCTGTTCATAAGGTTCTCATACACCAAAGCACCATTAATTCGATTTTATAATTTTTTATTGCATATTGAGTATCGACTTTAAATAAATTAAATACGCTTTTTGTGTATAGTCAGGAATAGTAATAAGTATCAAAAGTCTCCGGCTCTTCCATTTCGCACTGTTGTTTAGAAGTGTGAATCGAATTTAAATTAAATAAAAAAACAAAAACTTTTCTTAACAGAATACCGTTGCGCTATGAGTTATTCAAACTAAGGTCGTCCTAGGCATAGAGTTTAAAGACATAACTTTTAAAAGATTTTCAAGGATAAAGTAAATCTGGCTGAATCAAACATTTATTGTCCAGCTGCATCTGAAAGTCAGCGCATCAGGTGGTGATGATCATAAGTTGCTGATATTTCGCAAGAGGCGGTCTCTGCTCCATCGGAACGCGCATACATAATGATAGAAAAAGGCTTATTTATCTTCGTCTAGAAGCATGTTCTATGAACAGACTCGGGCTTTCATACGCCTTTGAAGCACGGAAAAATTACAACCATATCTCTGCAGCTGTTCCGACTTCTTTCCAAGCCGCAGCCCCGAAATACCGATCAAAAACAGGCCCACTGGCACCTTCTTCGACTGTGATTAGCGGGAATATTTTAGGGCATAGAACCAAAATCACAATAAGGTTAAGCATCAGTTGTATAGTTCGCGTTCAAGATTTAGCTCTTCTGTGGGCTTATATCGCGAACTCAGCAGTGGAACCGGCATGCAAAGGATTCAATACGCTCTACACTGTGTTCTCGTTAGACGTCGTTTCATTAAGGTGGACCTGAGGTTCATGGTCCTTCTAAGAATCCGAACAGTGAAGCCCTCTGTATTTTAGTTAAGGTCGACTATTCTTTCTGCTTCGTCCAGCTCATTCCGGTAAGAAAACAATATCTGCTTCAGTTTGCGAGCTAGATGTTTTGCAGTGCTCCTCTTTAACTGTCGGCGCAATCGTGGCGAACAACAACGCGACCCGTATCACGGACGGCAGGCGACGGACTCTTTCCGATGGCCTTCACACAGCTCTCAGTGATTCACAATGTGCCGAATTGGTACTTTTCGGGCCTTTTCGGTAGCCGTTTGGACATAGTAGGGCATCAGCGTTCGCACCACAGGTCTTACGTCGCAGCGGAAGGTAGAGGTTTGGTTTGAACAGAAGAAATTCGACTTATGTAAATATGGCATAAAAGAGCCGTTAAGGGCCGAACATACGATGTTAGGATTGCCTAAAATCCGTTAGCTTTTTATTTTCATAAGCAGAGTGGCAACAGTCAGCTGTCGGCACGTCGCA